CGGGGGCTGGCTGCCGCCTTCTCAGCAGCCTCAGCTCCCCAAGGTGTTGGGCAGTGCTCAGAGGCACGGCACGTTTCTGAGTTTAAAGGAGCAACGTCAGCTCAAGGCGTAACCCATGTGAGAGAGGATTCATTTGGAGTCTGTCCTGAACTCAGCCACCTCCACCACCCTAACCACCCTGATGGTAGATTTGGCAATGGCGTTTTCCTGTCTTGAAAAAGGTCTCCTGCCCAAGCTGTTGCTGAGGTCAGAAGGGATATAGTTATTGAAAACTGCCATGAAGAACAGCCATAAAAAGGTAAAGAAACTGAAAAACAGTGAAATTGCATTCTGCCATTTCTCCATGCAAATGGAGACAGAAACTGTCAATAAATATTTTAGGCACAAGAGTGGGCAAAAGTATTCCATGCTTCTTCGAACAGCTCCCAGGGAGTGGCTCAGCAATGCTGACTCTTCAGCAGCAATACTTGCCTCAGAAAATCATGGTTTTTTCACAGGCCTATTTTAATCCCCACTAGGTTTTCTGGGGCCCCACAAACTCATGCGTCAGCACAGGGGGTGCATGAGGCATTGTAGGGGTGGAGAGTGGAGGGAAAGAAAAAAAGTGAAGCCTAGTCATCCCGCAGCTGGCAAAGCCTCCATTTTGTGGTGCTGTGGCATCAGGGAGGAGAGATGCTAGAAGTGATGTGGCAATTCACTCCATTTGTAACAGTTGTGGTTGCCTTCAGTCATGAAAATTAATATTTGTGAGTAGATACCAAGTTATCTAAATCATTTTCATTTCAATTGCACCATCTCCCCACTTCTCCCTCACCTCTCCCCTGAAATATCTGAGTTTTTGTGCTTTTTGACTCATGGCAGCATGTGTTTTAGAAGCACATCAGAGTGCTGAGGGCAGTTTATAATGTTCCCAATAAGGCTGGAACTTCAACATTTTTAAAAGGAATTACAAATACTTGCTGATTGAGGTAAACACACAAGCTGTCAGCAATTGCCAACAACTATCTTTTGCATGTCAGCCACTTACAAGAGCAAGTGAACTTGCAAACTGCTCTCCTAAAAACTCTAATTAATTTTCATCCCTTGCCCTTTGCATGGCCCTTCAAGGGAAGTCAGCTCCGCTGAGCAGGGTTTGGCCTCCTGGCCAACACATCTTTGAGTATTATCCACAGAGGCAGAGAAGTCAAACAGAGCATGGACAGCAGCAGGCACTAGTCACATGGCTGCTCTTCTTCTGGCCCAAAGAATAAATAGCTGTAACTCTTCATCACCATTTTTCCTTTGTTTTTATTTAAAATGCCCTGAACTCAAGTAAGACTGTGTATTTATCCCCATCTCTCCCAAATACACAGCCAGAAATGGCAAATATTTTCATTTTCAGGTACTTCAAGAAAATAAAGACTGAGACAGTTGGGGCTATTCAGCCTGGACAAGAGAAGGCTGTGGGGTGATCTTATAGCAGTCTTCCAGTACCTAAAGGAGACCTACAAGAAAGCTAGAAGGGGATTTTTACAAGGGCATGTAGTGGTAAGACAAGGGGCAATGGCTTTAAACTGAAAGAGAGGAGATTTCGATTACATATAAGGAAGAAATTTTTTACAATGAAGGTGGTGAAGCACTGGAACAGGTTGCCCAGAGGAGTTGTGGATGTCCCATCCCTGGAAGTGTTCAAGGCCAGGTTGGATGAGGCTTTGGGCAACCTGGTGTAGTGGAAGGCCTCCCTGCCCATGGCAGGGGGGTTGGAACTAGATGATCTTTGAGGTCTCTTCCAATCCTAACCATTCTATGATTCTAATACGCTTGAGTGTACTTTTTTTCCCTGGTCTTTCAGAGAGGAAGAAGCATTTATCTACTCAGATCCAACAAGATGTCGTGATCAAGAGTGCCCACGTTTCATCTGCCCCCGAGGTGCCACCTGCTCTGCAGACAGACGGGCACAACAGGAGGTGCTGCCTGCATGCCTTGCCTGCAGTGCAGCTTTGCCATGCGTGAAGACCAGATTCCTTCATGCCTTTGGGACAGCCCACCAGGGGGGACAGGGACAGAGATGGGGGTCCCCCATGAGCACTGCGTGGCCACCTCGCCTGGCAGACATCCCCCCCAGGGACACAGCCTGGCCCCTGCTCTGGTAAGGAGGGCACTGCCAGCATTTTGTGACAATTTTACCCAGTTGCTAGGCAGCACGGTCCCAGGGACACAAATACAGTGAAAACAAACTGTCCCGCAGGAAAAGACCTGCACTGCTCTGGGAGGGCACCCCGTACTTTGGATCCCTCATCTTCCTCTCCCCTCCTTGCTCAGGCCCACATGGTTTTCCCCCTGCAGCTGCAGCCATGTCTGTGCATGGCAGCTTTACACACTACTGGAGCCAGAGGGCAAAGCTATGTCCAGCTCTCCAGCCCAGCACTCAGGGCACCCACTGCTGGGATGGTTTCTGCTCCTCTCGATGGTTAACTGTTTTACGGTAAGTGTTCTCCTTGTCTGACCAGCAGGACTGGCAAATCACACTAAATTTTAAATACTTAGATACTCCCTCCACCATCCCTGACCTCTCAAAGGACTGCTTTGTTTCAGTGCAGA